CGTGTGCTCTTCCGATTTATACTTTCCGTATAATTTAATTTTTAGCTTGTAAAAATAAGTTATTATTTGAAATTCTTATTTGTATTTTATATTTTATTACAGTACTGCAGAAAAATCTTTTGGTACTTATTCTTATTATTTTTGTAGAAAAAAACATATTATTTATCATATATTAAACATATACAAACACGTTTATGTATCACAAAAGAGTATATTTCTTCTTGAGTTTCTCACGGAAAATTAAAATATAAAAGGTATAATAATTATATAATATACATTTATCACGTTTCGACCTCTGGCTGGCTATTGTTATTGGCAAGATAATGATATGAGCATTAAACTTAGCGCCCATTTCTCGACATAAGAGTGCGAGCTCTTGCTGCATTAATTTTCGTTCTCCCCTTAATTAAGAATTTTTGTCTTGAGAGCCCGCGCAGCGCTTTATGTCACAGAAAAAAATCAACATTTCGATTTTTTTCTGTGTTGGATCTTGAACATAAAACGACGTTATATTGCCGTTTTTCGTTCTCCGATTCTGCTTCGTCATATTCTTCTGTATGCGTCGCCGCTTCCTTTACCGCTTCTTCTTCTTGAATCTTTCTTGCTAACTCTGTTTCCACAACTCAGTAGGATCGTGATCAGAGACTCTAGACTGTTATCTCTGGTTGAAAGCTCTAATCTTCGCAACGTTTCTTTTAACTGCGCAACCGTAAATTTTTCGTCTTTCATCGTTTTCAAAACGTTTATCGCCAAATATCGTAATCATAATAATGCCGTCGGATATTGACACGAATCTGTCTCTAAGCCGTACGAGAGTCGAAAGTTTGATATTTTTTCAGATAAGAGTTTCAGCAGCTTAAGCACTTACCCACACAGCACAAATGACTGTTTGCCGGCTAATAGTCGACTTTTTTCAGTCAAGTTAAAGCCGACTATTAAAGTCGACATTAAGCCGTCTATTTCTAGATTGGTTTTTGTCAACTTTAACTGTCGACTGTAAGTCGACTCAGAGTCAACCATTTTTAGAAAATCAAAGTCGTCTTTTACTGAATAATTACAAGACTGTCGCTAGATAGCGTTTGCTGGTATCTGTTTCTCGCATTTAAAATTTGTCGAACTCCTCTATATAACCAATGTCAAATCAAAGTTCGGATATGTCATAATTAATTATACATTATTCATGTATATGCACTTAGTGCGAGATAAATATTGTTTTTGTAACATATAAGCTAATAATGAGTATAAGTACTTAATGGTCGCTAACAGAAAGGCAAAGATATTTTTAAATTTTGATATTTTTAAATTAGAATATTCTCGGAATTGCTTTAACGTAAAATATATTAATTTTTTACCCGTTATACAAAGCTTGCGTGATTTTTGCCATAATCTAACTAATGTTGGCTTATTGTACTGGCTAAAAGTCAACTTATTGTCGGATAAAAGTCAACCTAATCAACATAACCTAGTTGGCAAATAAAAAATGTCGGCTTATAGTTGCCATAAAGTCGACTTAAAGTCGACTGACATGGCTGACTTACAGCCGACTATAGTCGAGACATTTGTTGACATTTAGTCTGACTTTGAAGTCGACTTTAGACTTCTTCTGTCGACTGACAGTCGACTAACAGTCGACTTCGTGCTGTGTGGATAACTCGGCGTACGTTAATGCTCGCCAATATATAAAATTCACACTTATTAAACTGCAAGTATGAGGTGTATGATATTATCCTACTTCTGAAAAACTGTAGAAAGTGGGAAAGATATAAAAATGAAATTGTGGGATTTGTGCAGAAGAGAAAAAAAAAACATAATAATGAAAAAAACATAAAAATAACACTAAAAAAGTGGTTTTTCGCCCATTTTGGAACTAAACTGGATGCTAATGATACTTTATAATGAGACATTAATTACAGAGAAGTTGAAGTAATAATTGTTATCAGAGTTGGAAGAAGGGGGGAGGTGGAATCAAAGTTCATTACACTGATCAACATTCTAAAAGTTTCCTGCAAAAAGAGAGTATTTTCCTGCAGATTTTGAGACCCTGAAATGATGCTGTGCTCAGAATTTATCTATGACGTTACATTTTTTAGAAAAATAGGATTGAAACATATAAAAAACACGATTTCGCAATTTTCAAAAAATCCCCCCTCCAGGGTACCATTTCGCATACAGTTCAGTTCCAAGATCAAAGACCCAAAAAAACGGACAATTTTTAAAGTCACTTTTTATTAATTTTTACACACGTCTAAACGACTCGCGGCTCGCGTCTACTACGGATCTGCTCCCGATCTTATTTCGTTCTTCTCCGCGTACTTCTTCTATCTTACTCGTCTTCTCATTGACCTTTTACCAGTACGCCGCGGAGAGCCGCGCAGCGCGCGCAGTAATACATTATATAGATATCTCGCGTTTAGATGTTTCGAGACGATAGACGTTTTAAGACTTTTTTTGTTTCTTGCGACTATACTTACGAATGTTAAGGAAGGTTATTGATAAAGTTTAGATAGTGGTCTTTGAGACATTATAATTTGAAGATTAATCGGTTCGTAATAATAATCTTCTTTTATCAAGTAAGACATAGATAAATGGAAATTTCTAAAAATAAGTTCTAATCTCTTTACAACAGTATTAAATTCTGAAGCAAGTAGAAGATTATAGCCATAAGTAATCATAATACTTTTGAGACATCATGGGTATTTTCTTCAAAAAAGCTACGCGGTTTGTGAGTTAGCTTCGTGTTTTGAAACATCGTTAAATGCAACGATTTTCGTGGACGTTACATTACTGCATCAGGGCAAGAGACAACTTGATACTGAACATTATTCAACGATATCTCGAGACACAAAGATAACCAGCAAATCACATCAATCAGCTTTCCTCAATAAGTAATCATTTGCGAATTCTTAGTGAAAGAATTCAAGTGTTTGTGTGAATATTTGTGCAACAAAGCAAATATTAAAATAATATAATATTATATATTTATAATACTTACAAAATTAAAAATACAAAGTTTAAACGATTATGATTTCATAATAATGATAATAATAATTACTACTAATTAGAAACATTTCAAAAATATTTTCCATAATGCAAACTTTTTCAGATTGGACTTTTCCAGTTTGTTGATAAACATCATTAAACAAGGGAAAATCCAATTACAAAATTGTCTGTTAAATTTATTTGTTTGTTTATGTAAGTGATACATTTTCTACTAAAACAAGTGAATATATTATATTCTGTTATATTTAAAAATTTTATATACTTTTAAAGGTTCTTTATTAGCTACAAAATAAAATTAATATATTTTACTTATTAAAAATATTTAGGATATTGAAACAGCGATTTGATTTAATCTGAAGCAAATATTAGCCACTTTATAGTGAACGTGAATCAAGAATTAAAAAAGCAGAAAGAAAATTAATCTTAGATTGATCACCAGATTAACAAACCATGATCGTTACTATATTGCTACTACTTGTCTTTATTATATTGCTGTGTGAGTATTACATACATTATGGACCAAAAGGGCGACTTATCAATCTCATACCAGGACCACTACACTATCCAATAATTGGTTTTGCGTGGAACTTGCTAGATTCACAAGGTGAGTTAAAACTTATAATATATTTCCATATAAATTAACTAAATCTAAAACATTAATATTTTACTGCGTCTTTAATAAAGTTATCAATCTTTTTACATAATAACTTTGTCGTCAGTTTTTCCAATATGTCTCAACCAAACAATAAATTTTATAACTTAGCATATACATAATATGTACAGTTCTTTTTAAATATATTAGAAGTAAACTATGACAACAAAGAAAATAAGTATCATTCCATTAAAAAAGATAAATTTATTATATATATAGGACATTTCGCGTTAAGCTGGTCACCTCTCCTTCCAAAATTTAATACAATGGAAAAAAATGTTTGAGGTCTCAAAATATTCTTATGTAGTTTTAAATGAAACGTGACCTTTTGAAAAATTCAATATGATGGCTTAAATATGGCGTCTAAAAGTCACAAAAATCATGAATAATTTTATAGCATTTTTGATTGAAATGCAAAAACTTCAGAAATTGGCTTGAAAATGATTACTATAAAGTTTCTGAGATCACTGATTGCGAATCTAGAAACAGAATTACAAAATTAAAATGGCGGATTTAAAATAAACAAATTTGAAATCATTACATAAAGCGTATCATACTTGTCGTTATGTCGAGTATAATACTCTACAATGATCACTGGTTCAACGGTAGAGACATTTGCAATTTTTTCCTTTAAATGGCAAGGAAAGCATGTCTACTTTAATTGTTGAGCTGCAGAAAATCGTTTTGCAAGAAATTTTTGAATTTTTATATGTTTCTCTTTGTTTTCTTTGTTGAAAAAATTGCAAATAATGTACTACTCTGATGCCATTGAACCAATTGTAATAATTGTCGTTATGTTGAATCTAATACTCTACAATGATCAATTGGTTCAACGGCATCAAAGTAGCACATTATTTGCAATTTTTTCAACAAGAAAAGCAAAGCGAAATTGAAAATTCAGAAATTTCTTGCGAAACAATTTTCTGCAGCTCCGCAACTAAAGTAGATATGCTTTAATTTCTTGCCATTAAAGGAAAAAAATTAAAAATGTCTTCTCTGCCGTTGAACCAGTGCATGGCCATTATAGAGTATTAGACTCGACATAACGACAATTATAATACATTTTATTAATTCCAAATTCGATCATTTTAAGTCCTCCACTTTTTATTTTATAATTCTGTTTCTAGATTCGTAACCAAAGACTTCGAAAATTTCATAGTAATCATTTTCAAGCCAATTTCTGAAGTTTTTCCATTTCAATCAAAGATACTGTAAGATTGTTCGTGATTTTTGTGGTTTTTAAACACCATATTTGAGCCGCCATATTGATTTTTCCAAAAGGCCACGTTCCATTCGAGACTACATAAGAATATTTTGAGACCTCAAACATTTTTGTCCATTGCGTTAAATTTTGGAAGGAGAGGTGGCCAGCTTAACGCGAAACGTCCCATAAATATATATATAACATCAATTATAAATTTTCTTTCACTTATAATATTTTTATATTTACAATACATATACATATTTTTCAGAGAATCTCTGGAAACTTTTGAACTATATGTGTGATAAGTACTATCCCATTTTAAAACTTCAGATATTTCATATATCTATCGTATCCATCCGTCATCCGGATGATCTGGAGGTATAATAAAATATAAAAAAAATTCAATTTTATATTCATTATTTACTGACAATTAAGGAATTTCTTGTTTATGTACATTTCACAAAAAGACACTTGTAAAAACCAATCACTTAACGATATAAAATCTCTGAGATATTTTAATTATAAATTAATTAATCAGCTAACATTAATTAAATACTTGATTCAGTATCTTTTGTAATTTCAGACGATACTAAATAATACAAAGCACATCAATAAAAGTTTGATTTATGACATATTATTTCCTTGGTTCAACACGGGTCTTCTCACCAGTAAAGGTAAAGTAATGTGTATGAAATGAAAAATATAATGTTTGTAATGTACATATATTTCATTATTATATTCTGCTTTTATGGCCGTAATTATATAAACATTTATATAAAATTTTACAATTAAGTTAAATATTATTTTAAACTTTTTGGTTATAATCCACACATTAAATAAAGAGAACATACGTGCAAATACATTCTGAAAAATAACTTTGTCGTAGTACATAACTTATAATTACGTAAAAGTATTCAAATACAGTTTTTGTTCTTCTTAAATAAATTTTATTTCTGTCAATTGATGAAGCTTTAATCATATAACATCACTTGAATTTACATAAATGCAATTTTTTACTGCACAAATATTTGAAAAAAAATGTTAAAAATATGTTTAAAAAGTTCTTTGTTTATAGTCTTAATGTAATGTCTTTGTTTACATTAGTACATTTACTAAGTAACAACTGAGAAACTTTATTTAAATGCACAATAAAAGAAACAAATTTAAGTAATAAATTATAAAAGAATAAAATGATTAAAAATTACATTGAAAAGCAAAAGGTCATGCATAACAGTATGTTTGAGTTTTAAAGTATGACTACAAGATTTTTTGTTATATTTTATTCTTTCTGTTTTAGGTGTTAAATGGCACTCGCGTCGAAAAATATTAACTCCAGCATTTCATTTTAATATATTGCAGCATTTTGTTGAAATTCTGATCGAGGAAAGCGAAAGTATGACAAAATCATTGAAGAATGTAGGAGACGCTGTTGTAAAAGATTTAGTACCATTTATTAGTGAACATACGCTGAATGCAATATGCGGTATCTTGTTTATAACTACATAAGATTTTCAGAGTTGAAAGCAATGCGTTACTTGTAACATCGTTATTGTTTTTGTTACTTTTTTTCAATACGTAATACATAACGTTACTTTTGCCATCTGTAATAGTAACGGTAACGTCGTTATTTTTACAGTAACGGAAACAAATTTGCCATTAGTTTTATAGTTACTTTTTCATACATTTATTTTCTTATTTTATAATAGATTTTTAATTTATTTTTTAAAATATTCTCTATATCTCTTAGGACGTACATTATGTTCCAATAGTCAATATTGAAAATATAATTCACATAACATACATACATATATTATAGACTTCCAGTACCAATAGTAAACTTTGGAATGCATTCTTAATAATGGCATTAATGTTTAAAAACAATAAATTTAATCTAATTTTATATAATAAATAAGTATATTAAGTAATACAAAGAAAAAAACATGTTCTATATACTACAGACTAGTTATATATAGGTTTGATATTTATTATATTTAATAATGATTATCAAATAACATAAATTTAAAATTTAATTAAATTTATTTTAGAATTATAAAAAAGTAACGCATCATTATTTTTTAAAATAAGTAAAGATGAGTTACTTTACTATAAAAAATAACGTTAATGCGTTACATTTTGAGGTAATGTTCCCAACCTTGAAGATTTTATTTCGGATAATAAAGAATAATAAAACACAAAATAAATTTTTTAATGCAATATATTAATATACTATACTAAATTAATAATCAATAACATCTATTTATTACAATAACAAGATATTATTAAAATAATCGACTGTGTATTACCATAGTATTTTAACAAATATATTTACAGACTTCTAATAAACTGTACTTACAGAAACTGCCATGGGCACTTCTCTACAACACCATGGTGCGTTCCAGCAACGATATCGAGAAGCAGTTCACAAAATGGGTGAAATTATCATGTACCGGTAAATTTAGAAATTTCGAATAACTGCAGTGATATGTATCTAATCTTAGGAGATAAATGAATATTGATATAAAGCCTTAAGATAGATACAGATTTATATTGATTAATTGAATAAAAAGATAATATTAAATGTATACGAAGATAAATAATTACTTTCTAAACAAATAACTGTGTATGCAATCTGTAGATAGATTAACGATGTGTGTATGTGTGTTATTTTAATCATATCAACGTAAATATGTTTTGTATAAACGTTATTATACAGTGTCCGCCCAAAGTTCGGGGCCACCTAAATAATTTCTGAACGGTTCGAGATATTGAATTAAAATTTATAGGGTTACAATGGTAAAATGTAATCTATCATTTTCTCTTTGAAAACATCCACTTCAACCTTCCGAGGAGGACGGAGGAAGAGGGGTTAAAAATCTTAGATGACATGTGGGGTCGAGTGAGGGCTCGTTTGAAAGCGCTTTTCGAAACGAGGAACGCTAGATTGAGGTTTCTACGATTTTTTTTCGCAGAGTTATGCTCATTTGAATATTGGTGTTTTTTGGCATTAACGAGGTCCACGGCGAGGATGTGAGGAAGATAAGGCTTTGCGTATGTTCCTTACACACACACACACACATACACACACACACACGCGCGCGCGCACTTTTCTACATACATTTTCATTTCCACTCAGGAACATGCGCGAAGCATATCTTCCTCACGTTCTCGCTGTGGGTCTCGTCAAAAAACGCCAATGTTCAAATAATTATAACTCTGCGGAAAAATATCGAGATCTCAACGACTTCGCGTTCTTCTCGTCTCAAAAAGCCCTTTCAAGCCCCCTCGGAAGATTGAAGTGGGTGTTTTCAAGGTTAAATGATAGACATTACATTTTGCTATTGTAATCTTACAAATTTCAATCCAATATCTCGAACCGTTCAGAAATGATTTAGGTGAACCCCGAACTTTTGGCGGACACTGTATATCTTATGTAACCGTCATTTAAGCTTCAAACCTATAATCTAGCAATCTAAGTATCGAATATGAATCGTCAAATTATTTATTTAAAAAATTGTTAACACTTCTAAAAATGTTAAATATTTGTTATAAACAAATAATGCGTAACCAGATCAAAAGATGTGGTATTTTTTTATCTAATTGCAACTTACATAAGAAAGATATAGTATTTATATGAAATATCTGATATATCTGTTTAGCATAAATTTTATTCTTATTGTAAATCTATATATATTCTTTTTATGTAATTTTACGTACTACAAGAATATAATAATAAGATCATAATGGAAAAAAAAAACTTTTATAAAATAATACTATTAATATCTTAAAACATATAGCAAGCTTATTATTTATAACAATTATGGTTTAGATTAATGAGGCAATGGCTAGCAAACGATTGGATCTTCTCATTGACGCCAAAAGGTAAAGAGCAAGCCAAGACTCTGAAGATACTACACGGATTCACTGAAAAAGTAAAAATCATCAATTAATATTTCCTTAAACTCACTATTATTACGTAAAACTTTACAAATTCCACATACTTTTAATATGAAACTGATACGTGATATTCTATAAAATATTCTTAGAATTTATATTATTTAAAAAAAAGATTAATATTGTGATTGTGTATAGATTATTGCGGAAAGGAAACTTTATCATGAACGTACAAATTATCAATATCTAAAAGATTTAGATAGTGAAACAATGACAAAGATGGATCTAGAAATGGTTGGAAGTACGTAGAATTATTTAAAAGCTATTATATTCATTAATTTCGACTGGCATGTATAATGTTATAAATAATTTTTTACGTTTTCTTAAAATTGTAATATAATTTAAATTTTAAACAAAGTCAATGTTGCTTAATAAAAATATCATAAAAGAATTGTATTAGAGAGTGACACTAATATGTTTATATATTTTAATTTAGTTCGGAAAAAGCGGCTTGTGATGTTGGATCTTCTAATAGCGGCATCTCGAGAGGGACTCTTAACTGATTCAGATATCAGAGAGGAAGTGGATACTTTTATGTTTGAAGTATTTTATATATTTATATAAATTTTTTCTATCATTATTTGGTATAATAATGATACAATAATGCATTTATGTAACCATAGGGTCACGATACAACAGCAAAAGCTATATGCTTTGCTCTCTTATTATTAGCTGAGCACAAGGACATTCAGGTATTTTCTTAAATAAGCATTACAATTACAAAAACTAATTAATTTCATTATTTAATAAATTATTCATTAAAATAGTGAATATAGTAAACCTTTATTTCATATTATATGTTTCTGTTAAAATCAGATAAAGAGAAATCGCCAATATGAGCTGACACAGGATTTTAATGTGTATAATTGTATAATAAGACAAAAAGATATAAAAATTATAAACGTTCGGCCCTGCTTTAGGTCTTTTTCAGTATAATTAATAAATTAGAGTCGTAGTGGTAAAATTATGTCCCAGAGTAAAGGTGTAGGGCCGTATTAAAATTTTGAGGTGCGTAGTCAATATTAAAAACGTGATCTAACTTATAGAGTCCAATATAGTAAAACTAGTCACTATACAGGCATTTGATGGAATTGACGATACAAATCAGATATTTCATCAAATGTTTGTATATCGACTAGTTTTATTGTATTAGACTTTATAAATTGGACTACGTTTTTACTATTGATTATGCACCTCAAAATTTTAAAATGGCCTACACTTTTACTTCGGACAAAATTTTACCACGGAAGGGGAGGGGGCAAATAGTGTCACTTTAAATTTCTTCTCTTTTCCGCGTCTATTTTATCACTACTCGTTAATAAAAAGACAATTTTTAAGCATCTAATCATCTTCTGAAAAA